AACCTAACTTACATGATAATTACACGATGTATCGAATTTTGTACCACAATTTCAAGGTTTCCATTCCACTCCTCGTATATTACTCATACAAGCTCCTCTCGTTACTCCACGAAACTTTATTTCAATTACCATTAAAAAAATGAGTAACCAAACACCCGTAATACCTGTAATATTCTCCAAAACTCTGCCAACCTTTTCTTCCATAAATTCCCGCCGATCTCTTACATTCGATCGATCCTCCAGTTCAATCCCGAAGTATACTCGTTACCCGAATAACAAGACGAAAAAATTGTCCTCGGTTACCGGTTCGATCAGCTGTTAACGCGGCGCAATTCTCTCCGAAAAAGAGATTGCCGTGCCAAAAGGGTGAAAATATCGCTCGTACGTTTCAATTACGAATACATGCGATTTAGGATCGACTCGAGAGAGAGTCGCATCGCGTGTCCATCGTACGCAAAGAATAGGGAAAAACGGGGAGAGAGAGAGAGTGAAATCTGTTAGCGTAGATGGATCGTGATTACAGGTAGGCAGGTGTATAGTTTGGTTAGGGCCTAAATGGCAAGCGTGATAGCGATCGATTCTCGCTCGCATTAGTTCGCTAATTCTAAGCTAACCATTATTATGTATCCAAAGATGCACCCCTGCGCGCTTCTATAACGCGACCCGTCGCATAAATTCTTTCTTTTCTTTTTTATTATTCAACCTCGCTAGTTTATAGCCTGTACGGTGTTACGTGTCGGTATGCGCATCGAGAAGATTTCGGATACTTTGGTTTCTTCGTTTTTCTCTCGTTTACAATTAGTCCCGCTCGCTGCTTCGTTCTCTGCTCTCCGGTCTTATCAAACACGTTCGATCCCTTATCTCTGATTTCGCTGTTCGACTGGTATATGAGCAATTAAACCCACTGATTCATGGTGATTACGCCTCTGTTTTCGTGCCTTCTTTATTCTGATTTTTCTTTGTAATGCTGCGTCTGTGATTGGCCTCTGCTCTACCGCGTAAACTTTGCTCCCAAACCGGGAGTTTGAAGGTATAGAAATTTATGCGAGGATTATTCTGTTAATTACGCTTTTCTTAATTTATGTGCTATTTTACTTGGAACTTCCATGTTATTCAATTTTATAATACGGAATTCTTTATGGAACTTTTTCTAGAATTTTTTATTCTATATTGCGATACAGAATTTTTCATTAACACGTCGACTGCCGTAACACGAAATGTTTTTATTTGACCGTTTATGGTAATTATTCTACTAAACTGAGAAGTTGCATTCGCTCAAAGGAAGCCTTAATCACATAAGAAACAGAGAAGTCGATGAGAAGTTCTCTAGAAACTTCGTTAAAAGTAATTGCCTCCCATACTAAACTACATCAAACACCTTGCAACGAAACTATAACTTTTTTACAAAAAAAAAGCAATCTCACTTCCTAACCGATAGATCTATCAGAAGAAACACTTATTTCACGCGCGCAACGTACAGAATTCTCCTGGCTGTACAATGCCTCGATAACGGAAAAACTACGACAACTGTTCGAAATTGAATGTTACGCCCTTTTTTCCCTCTCCGGTAGATCGGGCGAGTCTCCGTTGGATGATCTTCACGCTCGATAAATTTGCACCTTTCCTGTGGTGACGGAGACGAGAAGAGCCGCGGGAATCCGACATTTATTCGCGCAATTTCGCGTTTCGTACCAAGATTTTTATAAGGATAAGGACAACTTCCTGCTCGCTTTTTGCCGTAATAATAATTTGGCCCCGCGGTCGCGTCGCCGTCGGCCTGTCGCTGTTTCTGCCCGCGTGTAATTTCGGCCGATCTCCTCCGAGGCTCTCTGGAACAGGAAGCGACACTCTTTTTATCGTGTAGCGCCAAAATTAAAGGCGGGTAGAGAGAGAGAGAGAGAGAGAGAGAGATACAAAGAGGACACATGCGACAGGATTTTTTTAAAGCGGCGGAATAATAATTGCCGATAACGTCGAATAAATCGTTGCCCCGCTGTCGGATATATTCGTCGATGAATAACGAGGGATCGACACGCGAGAAATTTCGCCCCTTTTTAATGTAATTTTTTCGTAATAACGTGCCGAAAAGTTTGTCGCCGCTGTTAAGGGGACCGCCTTAAATCATCCGACGACGGAGAGCTGACGACGTGCGTGTTTCTTTTATTACTATCGAGCTCCTTTTTCGCCGTTTTCCTTCTTTTTTTCTCTTCTTTTCGTTCTCTTTCCTCTCGTAATTACCTATCTGGATCATTGGACGGGGGAACCCTCTCGGCGAACGTGTAATTTACGTAACTGTAAAGAGGAACGATACCCACGGACGTGAAACTTTTCGTGGCTGTTGCCCACTGATTGGTACAAACCGCCGGTTAATCCGTTTCTACGCTTGTGTTTTACGATGTGACGGTTAATCGTTCGCAGATTATCGACGTAACACCGTGAGACAATCATGTGCAATAAGTGAAATTTATTAAAACGCGCCGGCAAATGGAAATTATTGCACGCAAGGCTCTTACGGCGAATGATACGTGGAAAAGTGTGAAAGAGATTAGGTTTCTCGTTCGAAAGTTGCAAAGTATTCTTTGAGACATTTCTTCAAAATTACACATTATGCGTGTGAAGTGATAATTAAAATAGCAAAGTATTTCGCGAAATATATTTAACGAGATACGGTATACTGGATTTAACACAGGAAACAGGGTTGCGTAGAAAAATGATCAAACGCATACCGCTATATCTTCATTACTACAGAAACCTCTTTTTCTCGCTAAAAACTCTCTGCTGAATAATGTATAGATGTGCATTTAACATTCTCTCACTTTTCTAACCGTGTTATTGCAGTATCACGCCGCAAATTATATTTCTGAACACGTTCCATGCCCCGTGGGCCACAGGTGGCCCACGACAGCCCATGGAAGTGAAACTTTCATTAGGCAAATAAAGATATCCTTTGATACACTGTCCACGTGTTTCGCATCGAAGATCTACGCATCAGAAATTCATCACAATTCCATTTTTTCCCCCTCTAATTAAACACTCTGGTATAATTTTATAATTTTTCATTTCAAAAGCCTGTTGAAGCCTCCACCTAATCTTATGACTCGAAATCACTCCATTTTTAATTCATATTTATCTTTTAATTTCCATGCAGAAATACAGGGCGTTCCGTTTGAAGAAATCAAAGTGAAGAAATTTTGTGTGAAAGTAATTATTCTAACTCGTGTTTCCCTTGAAATCGTACAATTTTTGCTCAAGAAACTTTTTCGTATAACAAATTGTTTACGAATAATTGTAGAATCGTCGGATTAAATGAATCACCTAATCTATCTGCACACTTTATATTCACTTCTACGTATTCTACATACGTGCAACATATGAACCTGCAAGGTGTGGTTGTATAACACGTGATAATTTGTTAAAAAAATTTTTCTCACACTTCCACCAAACTTAATATTTAACGCTTAGTTTAACTTTACTGTTGAATACCTAATTTCATCCTTTAGGCACTTTCATCTTAATTTAATCTACCGACTTTGAAACGATACGGTAAAAAAAAAAAACGAAAGAATGGGTTAAATAAAGTACAACGATAGATCATTTGCAATCATCGCTGTAAAGTAATCAACGATTAAACCAAGATGAATCACTGATGTGTTATCGTCATCCCACTCGTTCCATTCTTTCAATTTCTTTTCGTATTCTGCATCCCCTTCTAACGGTTTCTCTATCTGTTTGACACCAATTACCTTTTTCCATAGTTTTTTTGAGCGAAGAATCCCTTCGACCTTTTCACTCCACAAAAAATAATTTTTATCGTCTAGTACCTCCACGGTCGTTATATTCCAAGGATCCGACATGGCTGCAACCACGCTCTGCTACCAATTGTGGTTGTTTAACACTTGTTAACAAGTTAAATATGAATATATTTTAAATTCTCACGTACTCACTGATATCAATAACAACGCGGTTCTACTGTTTTTACTCCCTGTTTCTCTGTACGATCCACTCGTTTTCCATATCTCGAGACGATTCGACAAACGCACTACATTCACGCCATCACTCACAACATATTATTCAACCAATTCCACACAAGGAACCACAAACTGATCAACATTTTTCGAAATTTCTCAACTTAAATATCAGACCGCTTCGCCAAATTTCCTTCGCTTCTTACCCCGCCAAGTTTATCAGAAACATCTTTACCTCCACACATTCGCTCTTTCGTTAAATGAATCCATTTGTACAGGAACGATATTACACCGCGTGTATAAAAAAGCACGTAGCAGAGGGAATAATCGGCTCGTTTCCACGCTTGATTGCAGAAATTTCCAGGAGATTTTCGGCTTCGATAATAATTATGCCGTTAAGTAATCGTCGGCTACCGAAAATGATCGGAGAATTAGGGATCTCTCGCGGCCGGTAAGCCACCGTAGATTTATGGGGGACTTAATGTCTTCGAGGCCTGTCCCGTCCGTTTCCCTCGGTTCCATACAGTTTCGTGGAGAAGAGTGGGTCACATAACGCGGTGTAACTCAAATTTTATTCCGCGTATGGTTTAACGCGCGACAGACCGAAGACCCGTCGTCTACCGTCGCCGTTGTACGATTTTCAACGCGCGGATATAAAATTGGTGATCGATTGACGTTTTTATTCCGAGCATTACAATTTTACGATTCCCCCTTCGAGCGGAGGCAGCCTGCTTTGTCGCGACCTCGGCACCCTCGATTCCACGTTTTCGTGGTCGAAAAAACGTTCGCCTGCTATCGAGGTCTGCTTACTTTGGAAATTTGGAAAATTTCGAAATTGAATGTAGTTACAGCGGTGAGAGTAGTTTCGCGTTTGGAACCTTGGGAATGTAACTGAAATTATTTAGGAACTGACTAAGAAAGATAAAACTTTCTTTCAAAGTGTCCAATTTATTTTTAGAGTAATTTGCACATTTTTGAAGTTCGACATATTCTATTTTCTGCAATTGGATCAAAATTAAAAAAAAAAAAGTTAGAGAAATCTAGCTTCCGTTCCACATTTCTTCGTAACTGCGTTTCTTTAGATCTCCGCTTCCACGATAAGTTTCTCGAAAGCAGCATAAAATACTTCGAACCCTCTTCAATCTACGAATACGACGCACGGGAAGATTTAATTATTGAAAATCATCTCGGTTAAATAACCCCTGGTCGGAACATTCGACTATTAAGATAAAGCCGACGACGAGTCGTGAAGGATTATGCGAAACGGTTGCGTCGGTTTTATTCGCTGAATACCATAAGCAGCTGCTGTGACCGTGGAATCTTGAAACGATCCTCGTTTCGAATTTTCAGCCGAATGAACAGAATTATGATAATTCGTTCTCGATCGAACGGAACGTGCCTCTTTTGATCTTCGATCGTGACGGGTCAGTTTTATCGATCGGTGAATTGCCTCGTTTTTCACTACTTGACGCGGCATCGTCACACAATAAAGTGGCCTATAAAAGAGGAAACGCTCCGGAGGATATCGAAAATCAACGGAGATTGAGCAACTTTTAAAAATCTCCCCCTCTCTCTCTCGTTCTTTCCACCGATATTAAAAGTCATCAAGGTCCGTTCGTTTGTTGCGAACGATTATTAGTAACTGCTGGACTTCCTGTTCTAAATGACGCCAGTTTTAATGCAACATCTTATTTTGTAATATTTTATACAGCAGATGCGTTCTGGGAATTAATCGAACGGCTACCGGGTTAATTCGTCTTGGACATGCGTAAAGGAAATTAGTACATTCATCTGAACGAAATATACATTAACCGCGACAATTTGCAAATAGTAAATTCCTGTCGCGACTATTTTCTTTTAAATAGATTCGGTAGAATTTCAACGATTGATATTTGTGATATTTTCGAGCGTTCAACGTTAAAAGTTTGTCCGTGTTGAATTTTATACTTAGTCTAACCGAGATAACATTTTCTTTCTGATTCTGACTTGCACGATATTTTTCAAATTTAACGAGTACAATATTCTTACTCGTTTAATTACTCACCGAGACTGTGAATAAAAAATATCATTCTCTCTCTCGAAATGAAAAAGAAATTCAGTTTGGAAGCTTATTTCCACGCGTTGCAGCTCGGTACCCAAAGGGTTAAACGCTGTATCGAGCCAGCCATAGCTAATGTATGCACGGTAAAATTAAAACGAGCCTCGTCCCGCTGAGCAATCGTACCGCAGGACACTGTTTCGCGTCCGCTATTAAGCCGCGAAGAAAGTACGCGATCATACATACTCCATCCCCCTGAAAATCTGCCCGCGATAGAAAACTTTGTTCACTTTGTAGCAATTAAAAAGAACCTAATTACCAGCGAGAAGGTAACAATTACCCCACCTTTGCAGCGTATCAAACGTATGAAAAAATAAAAGAAAGGAAAGAAGAATAAAATCCAGTATTATCTCCGTGCAGCATCTGTATAGCTGTTAAAGGAACTCGAGGAACAGTGCAAAATAAGCGGTGTCCGTTTATAAAACGGCGGATCGGCGACGAGTTTCGCCTATAGATGAATGGAAAAGAGCGCCGACACACGCACACACTCACCTCGGTAATTTTATTTCGCGTTGAAGCGCGTGAAAAATTGTTAAAAACGGTAATTCGAGGGATCGAGACCGGGGACGTTTGAAAATTAGCGGAAAACAATTTCGATGAGCATCGCTGTTCCTTTTTCTGCTTCTTGCCCTCGTCCGACATCCGCCGGCGGAACAGGAGAGATAATTATACGTCTTCTTTTCCCTCGCATAGCGCATGCAAGAATGTTAGAATGACGATTTTCTCTTTCGTTTCCCATTTTTTTTTTTTTTCTTCTTTCTCTTCCCCTCGTCTGTTTCGTCCGACGGGACGGAAATTCGACTGGCTGATATTGTCAGAGGCGAACCCGGAGAGGAAAGGAAAAGGCATCTGTCCGACATGGCGACGCTCCACCCAAAATCGTGCAACTATTAGCAGATCGTTGCTATTCCACGTGCTGTCTCTCTCTATTCAAGGGGAACAAACACACCTGCGTCCTGGTAATACCGTCAATCTTGTCGTCCCATCGACAACTAATGATTTAATTTAGCTAATGCCCGGGTAGCCGCTTTCGTTCGTTCATAGGCGGTTTTCCTCGCAATAATCTCCGGGATAATGACGCTTTTTCTGGCGATATTAAAGGAAAATGGTGGTTGTATCGATTTGTTTAGAAGCACCTGGTGTAGCACGTATGAAACCGTTTTGTCTGTTTTACTTTGTGGACCGAGAGAGTTCGGTAGTTAAGACGATTTCGATTGAATTGAAGTGTACGAAGTGAAGAATGAAATTTTATAGAGTTTTACAGTGTTTTCATATAAAAATTAACTTGAGCTTTGCACAACTTGGATTTCGAGTGTTCCCCTACGATTTAGAGGATTACTAAAAAATATGTTCGAAGACTACGTTTGAATTTTCTTGATAGACTTTCTTTACCTCCGCGCTCTTTTCCTTGTTGGGCATAAAATTACCCGAGGCGATTTATCACTGAGTAGCAATTATAATTAGCGAAATTGTAGATTAAGAAACCGTAAATCGAGGGAGTTGAAGGTACTGATTAAATTAGAATGAAAAATAGCCAGCTATATTTAGATTAATGCACGTTTCAATGGAGAAATTTTATTAATTCTACTTTTTCTTTACTGAAAGAAAGGAATTATGTGAAGATTCGAGGAGAGATAATAAATTAAACGTGAAAAGAAGCGAGAGAAATTTAAAGGAGCATTAAATTAAAATATCTAATTATTTGGTGTTGCAGGTCAAGCGGGGGTTAATCAATTGGGTGGTGTGTTTGTTAACGGGAGGCCATTGCCCGACTGTGTCCGACAAAGAATCGTGCAACTCGCTTTGGTCGGTGTCAGACCTTGCGATATCTCGCGACAGCTTCTCGTCTCCCATGGATGCGTCTCAAAGATCCTTACGAGATTCTACGAAACGGGTAGCATTCGACCAGGAAGCATCGGAGGGAGCAAAACGAAGGTGCGTGTCTTCGAGAATTTTCAATATTTCAAATAATTCAACGAAACGACTTTACATCCATTGCTGGTGCCTTTTGGTACCATAAACGACCTATTAAAAACGATTTATTTAACTATGATAATTTATACAAATTTAATTAATCATTAATTTATACATTTAGTGGTTCAGAATTCATGTTCGATTAGGGAAGACGCTGTTTTATTTAACTACTACAAGAGTTCCTATTATTTTCGAGTGACGACATAATCACAACACGATCTCCAGGTTCATAAACATTTTTAATTTAGTAAAAGGTATTCTGCGAATAAACCGAGCATCTTCGCCGGTATATTCGGGAAATTATTCTGAACAAAGAGTGTCAAATATAATAAATTTTATTCTGAACAAAAAGTGTCACATATAAATTATGGATCAATTTAACTCTACTATCGAGATATGGACCTATTTGCAATTTTTTTTTTCTATGGGGTTGCATGAAATCTAGAGTGTATTTAAATGGAAAGCCTTGAAACAATGGTCTCTTCGATATACAGTAGACACAGTCAATGAATGTACACCTAATCGAGTAAAATCGTGTGAAATAAAATATAAATATCAGTGCAATACGACAGATTTCAGTGTAACAAATCTTCCCTATCTCACGAAGGAAGAAAAATCGAATAACATTTTGAACACACTGTATCTTTAAATTCAACAGTAACTCCAAACTACCGCACACTTATCTCGCGTTATTCCCGATAGATCAGAATCCCTCCTCAATTCTCCAATACTCTCATCAATCTCCCCCTTAAACACTCGCAACAATCTTCTCCCGGTACAGCGAACACGCGATCGCGATAAATAATCGCCTTCAATTACGCTTTAACTCGTCCAACCTGCAATTAATTAAAAATTCGAGAAAAATAATCGAGGGAAAAAGGAAAAAGAGCAAAACGTAGAAACTTCCTACGAACCAGTCACCGAACGGCGAAGAAGAAGAACCGTAGGTATTCGAGGCATAAAACGACGACCGAAAAAGACACAAACGTCGACGCGGTTCATTTCAACCCCCGAGTTTCTGGCCGCGTTCTATGCCCGCGCAATTACTCGGACGAAATTATTGGAGCAAAGGAGATAAAGAAACGGACGCGGCAAAAAGCGTAATAAACGAAGGAAGGATACGTGCGTTATGGGGCGGTGACACTGATGAGAGGAGGCGAGAGACGCGGGCGCAAGAGTCGTCGGCCGGGAGCAGAGAGCGGCGCGCTGATGTGATTTTAAGTAAGGGCTGCGCTCGGCCGACGTAGCTGCGCGCAATTATCCAAACACCTTGCAGCAGCGACGGCGGCGGCGGCGGCGAAGGTGTGCATTTGCATAATTTCATGGCTTTGCTCGCTTTTCTCGCGCGAGAGGAGCTCTCTTGTGCCTGAAAGTGTCGCGCGCGAGCTCGAGCGGAAATTATCCGGTGAACGTGATGTCGCGATAGTCTCTAATATCGTAAAATTCGATCGTTTCGACCGAAAACGAGTCGAATTAGACGCACTTAGGCGGACCCTTTTAGACCCGTTCTTACGCGCGAAAAAATTGAATACTGCACACGAGGGCGCGGCCTTTAATGCTTGTCCAATTTGAATTTCAAATTCTTTATTTACAACGCCGCTCTCATGGCTCGCTCGATTTACGATATTAAACATCTTTCATTGATTTTGCTCTTTTTTTCTTTTCCATTAACGAGCCCCCGGCGGGGTTCGAATCGATCGTTCAATTATCTACTATAGAATCGGTGACACGGGGAACGCGTGGGCAGTGAGGTAATACACTGGCATCAGCTGAGCATCCAGAGGATTAATAACGAATTTCCTTCGCGTTGCGTATGCGAGGATGAGATATTTGCACGGAGTAATGGAGGAGGTTAGGGTGGGGTATGAGTCGCTTGAAGAAAATGTGTTCTGTTGGAGAACTTCGAAATGTGAAATTCGAGTCCTCGAGTGACACCGTGGATCGTCAGTGGGCAACGTTGTCCGGCTGTTTCGACAATTTCTTTTAAAAATTATTTAATAGTATCGTTTAACTCGTAGGTATGTAATTATCGCGTGCAGTGCAATCATAGTGATACGTTTTCAATTCCCTAAGAAGCATACTGCCATTGAAAACTGATACATCGTCGCTGATCCAGGGCAAAAGCAACACAGAAGCGTGTCATAAATATTCCGGGAGAACAGGTTCTCGAATTCAGGCTCAAGCTCCCGAATTTTCACCGACCAAACTTTCGTCAAGACGAGTAACTGCTGGATTTAATTCGAAATTGATCACAATCGTGTACATCGAGTCTTTCTCTGAAACACAGAGTGAAACACAGTTTTGCCGAACGTTAGGCGCGTTGCGCATCCTGCGCCCGAGAAATGGCGTCGAGGGAAATTACCAGTTAACGAGTTCCGACGCCGCCGCGCGATATCTCTGTACGCGGCGCGTTACACGCGTTCGATAATCAAGAGCCACGGGGTAGTGGTGGATTATCTTCGTCCAGATGGATTCTCCACCGCCACGATGTGCGTACCCCGTGCGAACCCACTCGACGAGAAAAGAAAATAGCGTAAAAAGAAACCCGTTGTGTATTACGCGCGTGACGTCACTAATGACAATATAATTGCACGCTACCAACACGGTGAATTTCTTACGATGCGCCCGTGCGGGAACTCGCGCGATCCCCGTTTCGGGCTTAATGAATTTATTTTAATAACGGCCATGCCTGGCGTGCATCGACCTCCCGGCGTTGAATTGCGACTTGGCCGGCACCGCGCCGCGCCGCGGCCAGTGAATTGCCGCGCGTGGAAACCTGAAGAGCATATTTAAATTCTGACTCTGCTCGAGGATGATTACGAGCGCATGTAAACGATCGTCATCAACGGCCATTATCGTAGCGTGTTCGTTTTGGTACCGACGACGCCAAAATAGTCGAGCCGCTGGATATTACGTTTCTACAGTTTCCATCTTCGAGTTCCGTGATTTCTTCCGCCGGTAACGAGGAGGATTAAGGATCGATTTTCTACAAGTACCTATTCCTTTCCTTCCGTTCTTTGCATTTTTTTTTTTTTTTTCCCCTCGCTTTCAGTGGGAATTTTTGTCGACGAGGAAAATATTGCGATCCGGTGATTTCAACGCCTGTAGAGACGATAAAGACTGCGTTAAGGAAAAGAGAGATGATTATACTTTGTTCTGTCGTATGCCGCCTAACACATTTTTCTGTCGGAGGGAAGTAGTGATTGAGCGTTATTAAACGGTGAAATATTTAAATCAATTCAACGTGTTTATAGCGGCTGTAATTATGCTTTAATATTAATTCTTCTATACGTGTCACGAGAGAATTAAAGATGGAAGGTACATAGAAAAGTAAGTGTATTTTAAAATGACAAATTAAAGGCAAAATTGAATCACGAATTCTGCTGAAGTTATTTTAGTTAACATTTTTCTTCTTAAACACAATTTCTTCATCTTTATTACCGGAGATGAGATACTTGTGTACTCTTGTCGAAGTGAGTCACATTTTTAACGCAGCAACTGAAGCTGCAAAAAAAATGTACCGTAAAATTGATTGAAACCTTACTGAGGATATCTTCGTTAGATCTTACTAAGTACGCTAATTGTACATTTCGCTTCTCGATTCGGTCGAAACTTTTCGTTGCGGAAAAAAGAATACTCGTAATTGCATAATGAGCAAGGAGCTGGAGAACTCTTAATTACACGGTAGCTTTAATCTGATGGCTTTCTTTCGAAAGCTACTCTTAACTCTGCCCTCTCTTCCGCGAACGTCCATTAAAAGTTGCCGAAAAATTTTTGCCAAGTAACGAAAAGTAAGTGTGGATCGTTGATGAACCTACAGACCACCGCCTTTGTAAATGCGCCGTGTGCATACTAAGAAGAACCATTCCGTAGATTTAATCTCGTCGCTGAAAGTAGTTCGAGTCGTTGATGTGTCAGACATCTTCTACGTTCACCTTCTCGCGAAACGTAACCGACGTTTAAATATGAAGTAATTCAAATTTTTCCTAGAATTCTGATAATAATAGAATCAAGCAGAATAATAATAGAACAGATAACAATGAAATTTTGTAATCATAACTTGCACTATTTAAACTAAACGAAGTCTAATCGTGAGATGAAAATTTTCTTTCGAATTAGAACAGGAAGATTAAAGCAGAACAAAATTACTTTTTTTCTTTTATCTCGAGCAATTTTAGTCTCTCTTGAGATTATTTTGCATTACATCGTGTGTGCAAAAAATTATCAAAGAGGTACAATGTTTTAGACAGATAGTATGCGGCTTTTTAGGAACGAGTGAACGGCGTTACAAATCTCTACTGTGGGTTTCCAGAGTATAAGGTTGCGTGACAATGGAAGAGGGTAGAGAACAAAATTACGAAAGATAATTGCGAACTGACGGAATTATTACTTAAACAATACCTCGAAGTTAGTCGATTATCTTAAATAAAACAGTTTTAAAAAAACCTAATCTAACCAAACGACTCGAGAAATATCACAGAAACTCCAAGTTGCCAATTATCTGAAAGAAAATAGTGAAAAAGCAGAAAAACACTTTCCACCCAATCTTCCCTACGCGAAATAGCAATTTCACGTTAATTCTACGTCGAGCCAACAATGTCTCCAGTAGTAACTCACCGGAAACTTCGCCAGAACTCCCAAGTCGAATCTCGCCGATACTCTCATTCCAAAATTACAAGGAAGATCACGCCTCGCGCGCTCGTACGCCGATTAAATTCACCGACGCCGGTCGTCGGTGGCGCGTTCCTGGAAACCCGTCACGGTCGTTAAGCCAGACCGATTATTTTCCAATCGACCGGTTAAATTGCGAATTAATTGTCGAACTATCCGTCGATCTACACGTGTTACAGCGTGCGTCGTGCACGTTTTCGAACCGTGTCCCAACAGTACTTTCCTCCCCGTGCTCGTTATCTCTCTTTGCCGGTGTGTACGCGCTCGAAGCGGCGCGATACGCTTGCAGA